GGAGTTTCGACTTTTTGTTTAGAGTGTTCATGTGGTCATGAAAATGTTCAGACATTTTTTATCTTTTTGACGAAGCATGATCTGAGGCTGAACATTTTTCGGGACTTGGAGATCATTATTCGACAGTAGTATAAAAATTTTGAAGGTGAATGGGCGCTTGAGTGAGAAGTTACAGCCCATCTGGAGTTTTGACTTTTTGTTTCGAGTGTTCAAGTGACCACGAAAATGTTCAGACATTTTTATCTTTTTAGAGAAGTATGATCTGAGGCTGAAAATTTTTGAGTACTTGGATATCATTATTCGACAGTTCCATAGAAAGTTTGAAAGTGAATGGACGCTTGAGTCAGAAGTTACAGCACATTTGGAGTTTTGACTTTTTGTTTGGAGTGTTTAGGTGGTCAAAAAATGTTCAGACATTTTTATCTTTTCGACGAACCATGATATGAGGCTGAAAATTTCTGGGGACTTGGGAATCAATATTCGGCAGTATTATAAAAAGTTTTAAGGTGAAAGGACGCTCGAGTCAGAAGTTACGACATTTTTGGTGTTTTGACTTAGAATTTAGAGTGTTCGGGTGATACTGAAATATTATGTTGATACGACATGACTTCTGAAGACAATATTTTTTAGCTTCTGCAAACAATTTTTGAAGAATTTAAGGAACTTCGACATGAATTCAAGATGCAATAGGCTGCTTTAACTCTCGCACATAATCAAATTCGAGAGTCAAAGGGATCACATAAGAATGTGGAGAAGGTGTTCAAGGATAGTGTGTCTGTGATGTGGGACGTGTCTAAATCTCTGGATAACATCCAAGGGAAGGTATGCTCTCAGAGGACAAGTGCGGATAGTCCTAGATTGCATGAGGTGGTCGAAAGCTTAGATTTGAAAATCAAATCCTGCGCTGAAGCTACAAAGGCTGCTCAAATCTCTTTTTGTCAAGAACAAGAGATTGAAAAGTCCAATCAGCTTGCATGTAGGAAGAATGTGAGAATTTCAGGTTTACCTGAAATAGAGAATGAAGATGTCAAGAGTGTTGTCACCAATTTTTTGGATGAAACACTTCAGGTTTTCAATGCGGAATTGGCTCAAGCTTTTCTTATTGGAAACAAGGGAGCTCAACCTCGTGGTATTATAGCGAAGTTTGTCAATCAAACTCAACGTGACGTTGCCTTAGCTAATAAGACTATGTTAAAGGGACGTAGAATATGGTTGGATCATGATCTAACTCCGATGGGAGAACAATCGTTACTCAAAGGAGGAGGTTGTCGTCAACATAGCAATCCGAGAAGCTAAGGGTGTTGGTGTGGAATATTTGAGGACTTTCAACAACAAAGTATGTGAGTGCTGCTCCGATTTGGAAGATGGCTGACGTCATCAACATTGTGGAGACTTGGGAACATGAAAGCAATACTATTGCTGAGTTGGAAGGTTTACCTTGGTGGGGTCGACATGGAACCAGAGAAGACAACATGCGGGAAGGGGTCTCATCAGGTCTCTTCTTCTACCTCTCATACATCTAGAAGCTCAAGATGTTGGTGGACAGTATCATTGGCTACGTCTCGGTGTGGTTGGAGGATTTTATTGCTATTTTGTAATTTGTTATTTTGCACCATTGTCCATGGGTATCTACTCAACACGCTTTTGCAACCGAAGTGAACCATTTCATCGGCTCATTGGAGATGTTCTTAGATTCCAAAGTAAAGGGGATGTCTTTCTTGCTGGAGATTTCAATGCTCGTATATGTTGTGCTCAATTTACTCAATTTAGTGATTCCTTGGCTTCTTCTATGTTTGAAGAAATTTACGATAGTTTGTGGTCTAGAACCTCTTTTGATCCTTCCTCAAACTCTTTAACATAGCACTTTTTGACATTTGGAGCCACTTGTAACTTGAAGGTTCTCCATGGAATCTCTCGCTTTTCCAACTCTCAGTTCAATACTTGTTTTTTCCCTACCGATGCTACCACAATAGATTTTCTTTTGTCTTCCTTGGTTAGTACCTCTCTGATCTCCAATTTTGATGTTCTCGATCCTCAACTTGAATCAGATCATGCACCTCTTTTGTTCACACTTTCAATGTCAAAATCAATCTCTACTTCACCTTGCCAATCTCTTTTAGCTTCTCCCAAGTTTCGCTTAGATCCTTGTAAAAGAGACCTTTATGCAGAATATCTCCAAGATCTTTTGACTCACACCATATGAAGTCCATATTTGCATACCGCTAGTTTACAGCTCATAGAATTGCTCAAAACTTCTCCATCAAAGTTCTTTTCAAGGCATAATACTAGGATTGCTAAGGGGTTATCTTGTAATGGATGGTTTGACTCCAAATGCAAGCTAGCAAGGGCAATGTCACTTGATAGGTCTTTGGATATTCAAAGTCGGCTTCTTTTGACAAGGATATACAAAGACTTGGTAAAGTCTAAGAAACGAGCTTTCTTAAGACGGAAGCAAGAATCCTTGACAAAGGACCAGATGAAGGATTCCAAGTCCTTTTGGAGACGATTAGCTACACCATCGTCAAAACCTTCTCTTGATTCCGAGTCTTTGGTAGTTTTTGCCGAAAAGCTCTATTTCTTTCTAGAAGCCACATCTATGCCATATTGCGAAGCAACACCTGGATTAGTTTCAGAAGAAGAGGTGATGACTATTCTCCGAAAATTAGCAAATGGCAAATGTGAGGATTAAGATGGCTTGTCCATTGAACAAATCAAGTGGGGAGAAGATTGTATTGGACGGGTTCTCACTAAACTTTTGGAAGATGCTATGGTTCATGGTTTTTTATCAACTTGGTCCATGCGGAAGATTGTCCCCATTCATAAATCAGGAAGGAAAGACGTGGTGACAAACTATTGCACTATCATGGTTGGTAGTGTTTTTGCCAAGTTGTTTGGGAAGTTGGTAGAATTGAAGTTGAGCACATGAACAGAGGATTTTCAAAAGAGAGCAAAGGCCCAAGCTGGTTTTCGTCCTACATACAACACTATTGACCATATTTTGGCCTTACGTGTTTTATGGTAGAAATCCAAGGGCAATGTAAAAGCTTTATTTTGTGCCTTCATCGATTTGAAGAAAGCTTTTGATACTGTTCCTCGTAAGCTTTTATGGAAAAGACTACAAGACATTGGAGTACCGGCTAATCTACTCGGAGCTGTGGCCACTTTATAGAGTTCAGTTCGAGCTAAGATTGATGCCTCTCAGCCTCAAGAGATCTCGAGCACCATTAGAGTTATTCAAGGTTGTTCTCTCTCTCCTACTCTATTCGGAATATTCATAGATGATATAGAAAGGTGGTTGGATGATTGTGAGAGTGAATGAGTCAAACTTGGAGACTTTGTGATCAAAGCTCTTTTGTATGCAGATGATATCATGTTACTAGCACGTGATGCAATTAGTTTACAAAAACACCTTGATACTTTGGCTAGCTTTTGTACTCAAAATCAGATGAAGGTCAATCTGGAAAAATCAAAGATCATTCTTGTGGGCACTAGATCCAAGTTCTCTCTCTTTTACAAGGGACTAAAATTGGAACAAGTGAAGAGTTACAAATATTTAGGCATTAATTTTTCTCAGAATTATAGTTTGGCACTTTGTGTGCAAAAGAGAGTAGAAGCTGGTTACAAAACTCTATTTTCATTATTAAACCTATGTAGAAGAACTCATCTAGTGTCTTGGAGTCTTGAGAAATTTTTATTCAGGAGCTTAGTGTTGCCGGTGGTATTATATGGGACACAAGTGTGATGTCTTGGCAGTAAGAAGACAAGTTGGGAGCGTGTGGAGAGGGTGCAAAAGATCTTCTTACAAGAAGAGTTAGGTGTAAGGAACCAAACTCCTTATGCTAGTCTTCTTGCGGAAACAGGTTGTCTACCTCTTGAGGGCTGAAGCTCTCTACTTGACCATCACTTATATTAGAAGGGTGAGATCTCTTGATGCTTCTCGACTTCCTTTTCATGCTTTGCGTGCCACACGTTCCAAGGGATGGTTTGCAGATGTGATGACTTGGTCTTTGAGGTGGAATGTGACGGAATTGGATTGGGATCTGCAACCTATGGCCCTTCGCGAGCGTATTAAGGAGGAGTTTCTCAACATCATTTGGAGTAGAGGAGGCACTAAAATGCAGTTTTATCAACTTCATGTGAATCCTATGCTTATTTATTGTGAGCAATGGTACCTTGTTGCAGAGATCGCTACATCTTTACGTCATATTATTGCCAGGCATAGAACAGGATCTCATAGGCTTGGAATTGAGAAATGACGTTGGTTGAATATTGATAGGAGTGAACGGATTTGTATGCTATGTGATGGGAGAAATATTGAGGATGAAGAGCATGTGTTTATTACTAGATATATTGAGATTAGAGTGGCGCATAAAGTTGATGTTGAGATTTTCTATTCTTTGATTCAGCTTGAGCCTTATGATTTAGGTTGTTACATTAGAGATATTATTAGTTACCGTTCTAGTGCTTTGGATATTAGCTAGGGGGTTCTTTGGGTTTTCTCCTAGTTTTGTGTTGGATTGTTTGTATTGTGTTTTTTAGCCTTTTGACACTTTGGGTCCCACGGGCTTGATCTATTTACCATACGAAGTGCGTTCTTAGATATGTAAATGGTCAAAATACTGTTCGACATATTTTATATCTTAATTGTGGATGTGTTTGAATATATGGCTTCAAGATGATGTCTATAATCATGATTAAATAGATTCACACTAGTTTGATGAACTTGCACATTTCAGACAGTGTGCAAAATTAGTAAACGTGAGAAAAAACTTGCTTTCTGTAAATGTACAGGTCTGTGAAACGTTACATAGCCACAAAGAAGGTCACGCATCTTCGAAGTATCTCTATGAATTTATTAACTATATGTTGATAATCCTAAAAAGAGACGTATTGAAACTAAACTGGTTTACAACAGTGTCTATGTTCAACGCGGATCCCATTTCAATTCAACTTGTTTAATACAAAATTAACTTTCTGCGTGGGTCAAGTATCCTTCTATATTTTGGCTTCCCGGGATGAAGACATCTACAATATCACTTTACCGTACCACGAGTTCAGATAAGTAATTTTCATTTTTTGGGAAGATAATCGACGTCGGCATCAGAGAGGATGCAGAGGAGCACCAGATGGACGACCTTTTTCTACCCCATTGTGCATGCGCTGCCATCTTGGGGCCGGAAATCCGTGCTCCTCGAACCAGCGATGACAACATTCGTCCGTCTGGAAGACTTAAAACGTTGGAATCAAGCAAAATACTGATCACAGCTTACTTCAGAACTATCACTAAAAACAAACGTCATATTGCAAATTCATTGCCCGAGAATTTCAGGTCGGGCATAAATCTCTCTACTGTACAGGTGTTCCCACATTCTCTTTCCCCGATACATGGTACTATGTTTGTGCAACGAATTTTTCACACCACCGTCTTCATTTCCTACTACATCTCCCACGTGTGATGTCAATCAATCTCCATTCACGCAACCTAAAAGTTCAACAAATGCCTTCAGTATTCTCTGGAACGTGATCCTGACATGGAACAAATTTGGTCACTGATATCTCTCATCGAGCAGACGCTATGCCGCCTCCACTGAGCACTGGGTCTGTGATGGTACACAAACACAAGACTCACATTTTTAGCACGCCCGTCTTCAAACCCTCACTGCTGCGATCGATGTTCGGCAGCAGCGGCTGACTCTCTCCCTTATATGGCAATTCATCGTTAATTAATGTTACAGACATCTGCTGCAAATTGTACAAGCAAATCACCAACTCCAGGAAAAAATAATGTTCAGTTTCCTTGCCTCTGTACATATCTATTAAAAACTTTCGAATTCTTTTTCCATCTACACTTCGCTGTCGGCATAGTGAGAATCTCCTGAACCAATGAGCATGTACACCTCCACTTGCTGGGACGGGACAAAATAAACTGGGCTTCCAGTCGGTGTCGACGGGAGGTTATCTACATCTTCGATATCAAAAGTCATCCTCTTGATCAAATGGATGTTTCTCGTCATACCACCAAGTCTTCAACGTGCAGTCATGTGAACAACTGCATATATTCAATCCCCAATCGAAAGATCAATAATGTCACAACTTTTCTATGGATAAGGTTGCGTGGACGACCTGACACAACTGAACCAGAAAAATTCACAGTATACCAGAGCCTAGCCAGATTAGGGCTCCTCATGTCCACGTTGTGTAGGCCGTGAACTAAATGACATGATTGCGCTTCAATACAGCGGCTGCCAGTGAACAACAGACGGCAAAGACTACTGACAATTTGCCCTCCTTGCGACATTCATAATTACCTGACAAGAAGACTCTGATGAGCATTCCAAATGGCACGATAGGCAATGTCTTCGTGGCTATCAGGACTGTTGCTTCCAAGTCGTTGAAGAACTTCTCCAGTAGTAGCATCCCAAATGTAGATTAGACCATCCTGAGAGAATGCAAAAAATAATTAGCACCTAACAGAAGTCAGCAACTGATGATGAACCCGTTAAACCAAGAATGAAGGTCATAATCAGTCCGTATGTAAGTAAGAACCTCCGATCCTCCGACTATGAGGGATTCGTCGGGTCCAAAACCTGCACGGACAAAGTTTTTGCTCGTATTTTGATGTCCCTTGAACCTCTTGATGGGTCTTGCCTGCGATACCAGATCCAGCACGTTGTTTTGAGTTTACGACTCGCATATCTCTGCCTAGTGTGTCTACATACTTATGTCCACAAGACTTCATTTGGAAAATTCAAGCGGGATAAGCAACAGGCGACAAGCAGAGCTCCATGTCAAAGTAAAAGTTAAAATTACCACTCGGACATCCCAAAGGCGGTTTGAATTATCCTTAGATCCACTCAAGAGCAGGCTGCCGTCTTTGTTCATCTCTACAGAAGTCACCTCTGCGTCATAAAGTCACACACCGTTAGATACAGGACTTTAATAAAGACCTATGGTTTCACAATAAGAGAAACACAGGATAAGAAAGAACTCTGAAAACACATGACATATTGTCAATATCCACGTTAGTGGTTGAATACTATTAACCAAGAATACAAACGGATTGTATCACTAATTAGATCTTTGATGACAGAGGCTTACCTCCGAGATGAGAGCTGTATGTTTTGACACAAACGCCGCTGACAAGATCCCAGAACTTAATCGTGCTATCCTTCGATCTGGTGTCAATAGTCACAGCACACTATTATATTTCAAGTACTCTTTAATTCGTTATTGTGTGCTACCACTCGATTTTCGACAGAAATGATGAAGAATTCCAAAAAAACCTCCACGATGGATTTCGAGCTAAACGACTGAGTTCAGCAATCTTCAAGGAAAGTGTTCATCACAAGTCTCACTCCGCCATAGATGACATCATTCGCACTCCATACATGGAAAGAAAGACACAAATGCGCACCCGCTTATAACGAGATTTCCGAGTGGATTAAATATCACGCGAGATACAGAAGATTTATGTCCGCTGAAAGTTCTTAGCAGAGTTCCTGTCCGCACGTCCCAAAGTCTCAGAGTCTTGTCATATCCTCCGGTGACCACGTAATTCTGTGCAGCAAACAACTAGCTCACTTCAGTAATGTCACAAGCTTTGCATCATGGCGCGGTACTTACTAGCTTGAGTAAACTCCTAGCTCCGAAACACTTCAAACTCAGAGTCGATAACAACCAGTCATGACTAGAAATTATACACCTCACTGTCTTGAGTGACATCAGTACATTACACAAATCACCATCACTAGCATCTTGAACAGAGGTTGTGGTCAAAATAAGGATTTACAAGGATTAGTAAGGATTTTCAACCATGTCGTTCTTGTTTTAATCTTACAAGAAAACACCCCACATGTAGCCTCAGAAAATCATAGCACAATCAAACCACTTCATCTCGACTACTCACACTTGATTGATGATACTTGGCGCTATAAACATCACCCTCATGACCAGACAAAGTCATTAAGCAGGCCGCATCGGTTGTGCCTCTGATATCCCAGACCTACATGCAAAATCCACAGACCGAGTTGCACGGAACTATGATCAGAAACTCAACGATGCAAGTACACTTCTTTCCGGCTCACATTTGAAAACACACACACTTTCTGTACTGCATAGGCTGGCTCTTTAAGTTTGATCGTTACATTTCCTTCGCGCGACCCCTATAACTAACTTCACCTATCAACTATCCTCTTTCACTCATCTTGCAGTATGCAAGACAGTGGAGGTAATTACAACCAACGACGAATTTATCAAAAAGAGGCCCCGCTGATATTCCCTTCTCCTATTCTCTTCACTCTTCCCGCAAGATGTTCAAGACTGTAGGAAGCATAGATACCTTGACTGTTGCATCGCCTGAAGCACTGACAACAAGATCGCCGCTAGTGCTTGATGTCACATCCCATATGCGAGACGTATGTCCACCACCAGTGTCTCCATCACCAAGCACATGCAAGCATCTACCATCTTCAACATCCCACACTCGCACCGTATTGTCACTGGTAAGATGATCAAATATGGATTAGATGAGACTGGTGGCCCAAACTAGATCATGAGATGCTAAAGCGTTTGCTTGGGTAAAATGTAGGATATTGAAAAGTACATGCTCCATTATGCACTATATGATTATGTCGAACGTAATCTTGATTCAGAACAATGAAGATATAAATATGACTGATATGGAAAGAAGTTCAATCGGTCTGTGGCAAGCATCGCAAAGTACAAAGTAAAGTATAAAGTGCAAAGTATACAAATAGATAGACTTGACAACTCGAGAGCTCTAAGGTGATCAAGATGTAACGGAAAACAGTGAGATCAAAAAGGCCTGACCTTACATACATTAAACTTGCAATAAAGTTACTAGCTTTTACTGGCAGATTTCTTTATCGAACTAAAGAAAACGATGAATTCATCCGGAAGATGGGTTCTCTTTGACCAGCAATGAATAATCTTTACGGAAGCTATGAACGCTACCATTGCACCCCTTGGCTTCTACTAATAGCTCTAGACGAAATTCACATTCTTTCCTGCAGATAACATTCGTTGCCACCATATAATGCTACGAACTAATGTTCACAAAAGTTTGAAAAAGCGAAGTAAGTTTCACGGAGCGCATATTTATGAGAGGTAAACCCGTTAAAAGGTAGGTGTCAACATCACAGCCTCCTTAAATATGAGGAAACTAACCTTGAGCCGGAGACGAGCATAGAACCCTCTTCCCCAACGAAATCAACACACCTGTACATCCACATACTGACATGAGAGAACAAGAGGCAAGACAGCCAAGTTTTTCAAGAGAAACTATATCCACTGATCTCATTTAGAAAGTTAGATGAAAGATTCTCAAAATAGATGAGCGTTTGTTAGGGAAGACATACTTGACATTACTCCGATGTCCTCGGAAAGTGGTTCTGTGGGCATTCGGTAGAACGAAGCATGAATAGTCCTCCAGCAATCTGTCCACAACCCAGAACCAGCACCAAATGAAAGCCGCTACCCCCATCATCAACCTTGGCCCTGCCAAAGACCCAGTACTTATCAACACTCACTATCCTTCTAGGCAGACGTCTGGACACTTGACAGCCGGGACACGTACGTGAATGGGTTCCCTGAACACCGACAAGACCTAACTTCCTAAGTTCATATTTTGCGTTCGATAACAAGATTTTCCAACGCCGACAAGATCACAAAAATTCCTCTCAAACAGACGAAAACTACAGGATGCAACGGGAAAGGCCACTGAACTTAATCGGAAGACTTGGCACATCTCTCGAAACTCAATTGAAATTTTGCGGATCTCTCATACTCAATAATCTCTCAATGAGTAGAGAAATGCGTAGACGCGAAGAAAGAGAGAGCAATTTAAAGATAAATTGAAATTCAAAATCTCCTTGACCGTAGAGAAAGAAAACTTACGTGGGTACAATTGGGACAACTTTGGGATGATATCTGCTGAACTCTATCTGGTAACGCACAGCCTGTTTGAGTAGATGCAAGAGTCGATGTTGTTGCATCTCCTGCCTTGCTACTGAATTCATAAGTTAACTCCAAGTTAGTTTCCCACTATATGTGACACGTAGAGAGCATAAAGCAATTCAATGTATAAGAGAAGTTACATTATAGGCTATATACCAATACAACAACTTATAGAGCAAACTCTCACAAACTTTTATTGATACAATTCAGTCACTGGAAGAAACTATAACGTGCACAGAATGTACTCATACGAAGCTTGTCACTATTTTTGAATAATCAACCACCCGAAACACCCATATTGGTATCTCCCAGTAGAACCTTCTTTCTTAAAGTACCTGCCAAATCGTTACTTTCAATCTCCAGCATTGACGAAAATTGCTCCACTAGCTTCTCTCTAGCAAAAGTACAGGACGTGGACTCAGCGAAAATATTTAAAAAGGCCGAAGCATTTCCCAACTCAAAGTTAGTGAACGTTCATCTGCATGTAAAATGCCCTTGTTTGTCACGTCCAAGTTTCTGCTTCACTAGATGAAGAAGGTAGTGATGATGTAACTGTTGTCAACAGGAAAGAAACATTCGGCACGGTAGATGGCACCTGAGTTCTCAGGATAGGCTACATCGGAAAAATCGCATTAAAAGATTCAAAACATATGCCGCAAATTCCCGACTGATGCAGACGATAAGGCAGTGGCAGTACTTCATATGGCTAGACCTAGCTTTAGCGCAAAAAAGGGAAAAAAGTAGAAGATCTGAAGCAGGATATCATATGGAAACATTTCGTGCTTAAATGACCCAACTAAGTCCACTTTCGGAAGAAATGGCGGAATGCGAGTGAAGAACGTGGACACGACCGCGAGCAATTTTCGTCAGAGCCGTAAGTGACACGGTTATGCAGTGAAGAAGTAGTCTCACCGTGATGCAGCAACACCTTCCCAGTTTTTGAAAGAAGGAGCATCATGGATGCACTTGCATGTCAACAAATAGCAAAGATCCTTGAACTCGTTATGTAGACTTCCCATTTGCTCCAGTGGCTTCAATCTCTTCGTAAGAAGTGCAAAGGCCTGCTCATCGTGACAGAAATAGAAGAACAAAATTCTCAATGTTTCTCAAAACACAAAGCTAAATGCGTCTCTTAAGATCACTGATTTTCAAATACTACTCAAAGCTCTTGCTGGTAACCCAGCGTCTTTCACCACAAGAGTTGTACAGCAGATAGATATTTACCTTTTGATATTCCATTTGTTCGATAAGTTCCAAGTATTGCTGTTTGTAAAAATTGTACAAAAAATGTTGATGATCTTTTAGGGGTGTTTTCTGTATCAGTTTCTCCATTTCTGACCACTCTCCATCTGGACAGACAAAAACGAAACCGCTTTCTGGTTAAGCCAAGGACAACCAACACCTTCTTGCGAATCATCCAGCCCCAAATTTTTTTCTGAACGTGACTCGTACCCATTATTGCAGTCTTGATGCGCTTGAACTGAGATCGGTGTCGAAGATGTTCGTTGACCCGAACATTAGCTTCATCTTGAATGGTCATCATCGATGCAAAATATCCCTCGTCCTGAAGATACTGAATTATCATTTTTATTATATCCTGCATTCTCATACATAGCGGCAATCCAAAATAATCAGCAACAATAAACACACCTCATTTTGAGTTCTCACAAATGTTTCTGCGCATAACTCATCATTCTGATAAAATTTGGATAAGAGTATAAGAATATCCTTGCGGACCAACTAAGTAACAACTATCCTTTTTAATGGTGATGGTGATGGTGACCATGATACTTGCCTGAAATGAAAATATACAACAATTTGAGCCAAAATCGACAGACTTAGTGTCATATGACGATGAGGTGGCTTACTTCTTTGATCTTGTGATTGTTGTGATCAAAAATTGCATCATCATTACCGATAATCCTTCGTGGAGTCCCTGCATAGAGAGCTTCTTGTGCTCGCTCTCTTAGAACCCCGCTTCCTTTGTTGTTTTGTGGGCTGGAAGGCAACAACATCGACCAATGTTATTGGGCACAAAGAAGCAGGCAGTCAACCGCCTAATTTTCCCTCTCTTACAACTTTAGATCAGGCAACGATCTCAGCGTAGTATGATCAGAAGGTGACGGATCATGATACAGGCATACAATAAATTTACTGGTCAACTCAGACTGTGCACCGCCTGCGGCATTGGCCAAGAGCTAATATTTTCAAGCAGCGTGACCCCCACACCTCTCACTCGTTTTCCTTCCTCTTTAGCCTTCGTGCCTGTATTCGGGGGAAACAGAGTTTGTGCTATTCACAGCTTCACGAGACGTTCCACCGAGAGGATGGTTATTCAAATTCCTACAATAGTCCGAAACTACAAAAGAAGTGCCTGCAAATTTTGGTTTGACGAAGGTGATAATATAAAGAAACTCTTAAAAAGCTCGATTTTCTGCCCACGCTCCCCAAGAATTAATTCGTTATCTGCTAAATAGTGGTGGTAAACAAGGTCAGCTTCAAGGGACCCTCATTTCGGTTATCGTATCTTTACATTATCTCCTGCTTGAAGCAGTAAGTACAAGGCAAATCTCGAGCTTCCTCTGATGTAAGTCATAAACAGTGAGCTAGTATCCCAAAATCATGGTGAATTTCATTATTGCGAAAAGGAATATCAGAGAGAAATCTGTCCAAGGTAAAAAATAAAAAAACTAAAAGGCTAAGAAGGAACTGGGAAGCCCAGCAGAATACAACTCGAAGAAAACGCACGATCTCAAACCGATCGTCGTCATTCCAGGCCTTAAGCTAGGCACGAGGTGATCGGTCCAGCGATTCTTTCTTCGACTCCGACAACCCCAAACTATGAGAAGCCGGGACGATTCTCCGCACGGAATTGTGAGAAAACCACACTACCATCATCATCGTGCAGGTCTATAAGCCCACTGACTCAATCACTCAGTAAGCGAGCTACCCACCTCGTGCTAGATTCGACATCGGAAAGAAGTGAAATCTCATTCTGCTGCAAAGCGGGCTGTTTCGGGTGTCCACCCGCAGGCTGTGCCATGGCTCATGCACAAGCTCCTGACGCAAATTATCGATCGATCGACTTGTCCGTATGGCAGAGCAGAGCGAGCGACCCCGTCGCGCTCCTCGACCTCGCTCCGTCGCTTCTCGTCTTCGTCCCTCGCTCGAGGGGTCCGAGCTCCAGTTGCGCCTTTGGCTCCGAATCGCACAACAGCTCCGTTGTTGAGCAGTAGGCCTGCCACGTCACGCCGCTTGTCACTATCCGAAACGCCTCCTTGCTCCCCCACCCGGGTCTCGCCCTTTGCTTTTTCTTTCGTTGCGAGGGTTCTGTGCCATTCTTCGCTCTCGGGCGTCGCAAAGATCCTGCCAGACGTTGGAGTGCTAACCCATTGCTGGGCGTGATGGTGCTCGCAACAGCAGCCAAAGGGGTCACTCACCAGATGCTTCTTTGCCAGATTCCATATACGGCTCGTGTTGTACTCTATTGTTCTGGTTCGGGTTTGAGCGTATTCGTGCAAATCATTATTCGAGTCATCCTCTTTAATACGGTCGAATATCATGCTGTCGTCTTTATTCACTCGGAATGCGCAATGTGTTTTGGGTGAAGAATTACTCTCCACGTGTTGTGGAATCTACATGACCAGACCTCTCTAAATACGGAAATCCGTCCATGGAGTTCCGTATGTACCGTATTTGGTTTTCACAAAGTTCCTTATTCCAAAAGGAATATTTTTTTTCCCAATCTATGTGCTGTAACTAGAGAGTGATAAAAGTTAGACATTCTAATTCGATACAAGTATTCACGTTTGTTAAAAGCTCTTAAATAGTTGTTTCTGTTAGCCAGGGCACCATTCTTTAATTTGCTGACTGAAGTCCAATGCATTTTTATCGAACCCGTTGCAAAGCGACTATGGAATTTTAGAGCCGGCAAGACTCCCTTTCAACCGAAACAATTGTAACGGTGTGGTTTCTGCATCGCAAGTCGTGATACTCAATCCCACGCGCATGTTTCGAAGATACTGTTAGAATTGATTGGATTAGTTCAACATCAGGTTTCTTTGCTAGCCAATTGTTTGCAAAACTGGACCCAAGGTCAAGATTTGAAGGTCTGCATGCACTAGGTAATTTTTTTTTGGAAACAATTTGTAATCTAAACAAGGTCGAAGTGATAGGTGAGTTCAACATTTTGACTCTTTTCTTAACTTATGAACTTGCAACTTTGAAATCAAGGATGTTGTTCAACTAATTCTAAAATATCAAGATTGTTTGGAAGTTTCTTGGCAACAAAAGCATCTGACAAAATCTTACAATATAAAAGCTTTTACATATTCTCATAAATTAACCACTTGTCAGAGTATTACATATAATTATCCCATCTCATCTAAGTGAAACTTGATATGCAGATGAAAAAAATGCCCCTATCATTCAATTAGGCAATTGCGGATATTTTTATCCTAAACTGGCCACAAAGAACTCAAAACTCTTCGTTCTAGAGGGATGTGAGATCAAAAAATTATTCCGCAATTCAGGAGTCCTGTCTGCGATGGGGAAAGTGAGTCTTAAAACAAATCCCCAAGAATTGCTCCACTGTTCAAAGATGGGTCTCTTTTGGGTGGAGGATTGCCCGTGCTGAAAGTTGGGCAAGTCTCCTCCGAGCATAGTCTTGAAAATTTCTTGGAAATTTGTAACGAAAGAGCAATGCAGTGACTTACGGGAGGGGCGTCAATTCTACATAGCAATCAAAATTCCCATACGATCAAAACGGACAGTTCATAGAAAACTCATATTGTCTAGATGTTGCAAAGTCATGTTCAGGATCTTCAAACCTTCGGTAGTATGAATGTCACATGCCTAAGCCGATGGACTTAGCGATTGAGCAGTCCGCATAGTATTCAAGACAAAAACCATGAATTCAAGCTTGTGTTACTGGTGATGTAACTGGTGCATATACTCCAAGAGTCCGAACCCTTTGACGTTTCTACAGATGATCTTGTTTCATGTGGATATCTGCGTTGCACTGAAATCTTGCGGCCATGAGGGCTCAAGACTAAATCTCTTCTGTTGTGAAGAAAAGCTGGTGCAGATTGACCTCAGCGTGACAATGCGTTGGCGCAAGCTACGGGGAATATGTTCATATAAACAATTTCCGCCATTCACAAAGTCTGAAGTGATTTTAACTGCAATGCTAACGTTATGCATGCCAACGGCTTGGACTTTCTTGCACGCCACATATCTGACATCGACCATGAAACATTAACACAGTACAGTAATGTTCTTTACTGACGACCATTCATCCCCAAAGGTATTTGTATAGTACAGGCGGTCACATCACCGTATGTCATACATGTTGTGACAAATGGAAGTCATGTCACGACCATACTACATTTTCTACATTCATTCCACTTATGGATCTGCTGCGCGGTACAGTAACCGACCGACGGGTTTCAGCTCCCCTTTTAAATGACAAAATCAACTTTCTTGCATCACGATGTTATTTACGATGTTATTATTACTTCAGACCACGCTCTGTTCTGGAGTGAGTGTGGATGGTTTTTCAACTATAGCTTTGCACTCCTCATCTTGTGCAATAAGTGAGTCAGGTTAGGTGTGATAACTTTGAAGTAAAGTGGAAAACTTCCAAGTGGATAACGAACAAAGTAAGATCATATCCTGAAGCGCTAGAACGATGAAAACAAAGGAAGTGACAAGACCATGAGTGGCAAATAATGTCTATAAGATCCAACTTACATTGATTATCTAGATCAGATAATATACTAACAACATAAGTATTTGATATTATATCATCCACCTCAATTCCTTTAATATTTAGGATTTATTAATTTTACATAGGCAATAAACATTTTTCATTGAAATTGTACTAAAATATTACAGAAAAATGATATCATATGACTAAATATCTCAAAAACATATGAAAATATCATGTACATAGTTATATATAATAGAATGTTGCAAAAATTATTTTATCTTTCTACACATTTCTATATTCAAAAACTCTATTTGTTGTGGTTTTAATGGCTATCATTGTTATGAAATTTTTTTTGCATGTAATATGAGATAATACATAGATACAATCTTAACTCCATCATTTCAAACTAAACAACATAAAGTTGTACTATGTTCATAAGTAGTATTTTCATGTGAAATATCCATCATCACCGGATCTTTGTAGATTAGACATTCTAAATATAGATGTTTGGAAAGTTTCAACCAGCAATTGACGCGTCTCGGTTTCATCTCACCAACTGCGTCATTGCCCCAAGCGCAAAGATATGCCTAATCCTATATGTGAAGAATACCTAATCTCAAAAATGTGTGACTGAGTAGTTCACATAGTCAAATTTGCAAATGACTAGAACGAGAAGCAACTACACCGAGCGTTACAACTTCAACACGTTGCATAAACAGAGTATCATCTTCAGATTTCATACAAAATATGTCGACACACAATTGTGTCATTTCTGTTGCATGCACATTTTGTATTGACTTGATTGTGAGTGGAAGTTGATGCAAAATGTCAAAAAATGACCATCAAGAAGTCATTTGATCCAACGTTCCACCCTGATAACTATCGTATTCATCTCAAGAGCAAGCATATACTCCGTTGTTGTAACTGTAGTTAGAACTAAAGTAGAGGTTACTCAAGATGAAGTTATAGTTACTTTAACGTGCACTAGTCATAGTTGTCAGGTCAATGATCCGCGTGCTTGGTAGGTAGAGAGTAAGTGTGTTAGTTGACAACGTCACGTCAGCCATCAGTATGGTTGCTAAGTAAGTATTAATCTGTTAGTTAGTGTGTTAGTTGAGAACATACTGTCAGCAATCCGTGTGTTTGTTAGGATTATTCACGACGTTACCTATCCACTATGAGTGAATTGGATGGTGGGAATAAAATCTTATCGCCTTGTACTTGTTGGTAAAAGCTAATAAGAGAAAAAAGAACCATTGTTTGTATCTCTCATGTTCAGAGTTTATGTTTTTATCTTCAAATGAGATTCTCTCTAAACCATAGTGTTATAGTTGGGAGGAATATCAGAACCTCTCTAGAGAAAGTAAGTAGAGAGTAATATCAAACCCTTTCTACAGAAAGTAAGTTTGTATGCTTTGACATCGAGGTATCTTTCAAGAACACAATTCTGTCATATATCAAACTAGACAAAAATCATGTGATGTACATCATTGTACATCATTGAGGTCATAATTGGGGATTTGCTATGGGATTCCAAAGATGTTGAAGATCAAACCTATAACTACGTCATGTGCGTGTTCACACTCAATCTTGACAAAGCTAACTATCTATGACGATTAAGATCTCAATGTCATATCAGCTTGCAATCAAGTACGTTGTCATTGATGTTAGTCACATATCGACTGTGTAGGCTACAAAGGAAGTTGCAATGGTCTTCAAGCTCTGTGAATTGAATGATTTGAAGATTGTTACAATTGTACACATCCAATGTAGTGCCAACTTCCAGATTATTTCTAACATCCTCTACAAAGTATGGATTTTCTTGATTTCGCTTGATGACTTCATTTGCATGGGTACCTCATACATCAACATTTGCGTTAGTTTTATTTGTTGTCGTCGATGATTTTATAATATGCATCCCATTTCAATTTTGTTTTACGGATCTCATACGAGTTTGTCACATTTTGAAATTCTATGCAAATTATTAGAACTCTCCCCCAAAAAAAGAAACCAATTAATCGGTGCATCGTATGACAAAGCTTAAAACATGATTGATCATGTTGCTGGTATTATCATGCGGCAGCAACAATGTTCATTAGAAGGAATTATTTGCGTGTGGTGTCTTCTCCATTTATGAAACCTTCTCCTACATGAATCATACTAGAAACTTGATGGTGATACATGATTTGCATATGCGACGACAGCTGAAGTTTATTTGCAAGATGAAGTCAACTTTTTCCATGACATTTGTGACTCGATGGCAAAGTATGTTCGGTGCCACCGGCTGACTCGAAGATCATTGCCACGAGATTAATGCTCACTATTCTGAAATTTCAAATATATTTTTTTCAATGTGCATCTGAACCTGAGAATAACTTCTGATGGTTCTACATACCGTCACAAAAAACATCACAAATGTCATACACACAATCATGATGTTACTTCGAGATCATCATCTGGCGCTCAACCAACAACAAATAAATGTTTAAGTATTAACTCAATATTGATGCATTTTGCAACTCCGAAGTTGAAAATCTAAACGAATTCACTCATGTCATACACAACAATTTGTTGGCTTCCTACATTGACATCACATGTTTTATTGAAGATCTTGGTCATTTTGCTTTGATGACGATTGATAATCTTATCAAAACGATTCAGCTATTACTTCTTGCTAACAACCAAAAGTGTTTCGTCGTCTTCTTCTTCTTCTTAGTAACGTTGCAATTCTTTTTTTATATCGTTGACGAATTTATAGATTGCGTAGCAATGCAAGATGAACGCGGCTCCAACGGCAAACTCGATTATCCACTATAATAACTTTTTAAACTAGTGAAGCTTAAAGTTTGTTATATCAATTGACTTATTATTCAACAAAAGTCTCTTCTTGACTGTGGTTGATCTCTCTCCGACATTGACAAAATTGGATTCCAATTTTTAGAGCTTTGCATCATGTACAAAAATGTCTTAATATTTAAAAAAGTAATGAATTTTTGCGATCATCGGTGTGTGTTTGACGATGTGAGGCACTGCCATGTCTGTCGGATCATTTCAACTTTCTAGTAGACTTTGTTGATGGTGTAGATTTACTGATCCCAACACGGCATCGGTCGAAAGTGATTTTTTGATGTTGAAATTCCAGAAATACGTATTCAATCTATCATTGACTGATTTTTCTTTGGAAGTATTCCTTCAATGCATATTATGACATTTTACACTCGATAAAAAAAACATTTCTATATTATTGAATTTAAATTTTAATCAGTAATGATGTCTATTCATGCTTAATTTGATTAGAAATTTGTGCCTCATTTACTTCATATTAGACACTTTAGCCATATGCGTTATCTACAAAGTTTTGATCATCACACATCATTCTAAGCACTACATTCGTGATGAAATCATGAATAGCTATAACCATCTTTAGTTAGTTAAAACTAAAATAGAGGTTACTCTAAATGTTGATATAGATACTTTAGCGTGCACTAGTCATAGCTACACGTTAGCCATCCGTGCGCTTGGTGGGTAGAGAGTATGTGTGTTAGCTGACAGCGCGACGTCAACGATCTGTGTACTTGTTAGGTAAAAATTGAGTGTGTTAGTTGTGAGCGTCATGTTAGCGATCCGCATGCTCGTTTGTGTTATCCGCCACAACATTCATCCACTAGGAATGGAATGGATGATGGGGATAAGATCTTATCTTCTTGTATTGGTTGGTGAGAGATATATAATGGAGATTAAAATTATTGTTGGTATCTCTTATCTTCAGAGTTTATGTTTCCATTTTCAAGTGAGCATCTTTCTAAACTCTAGTGTTACAATAACCTTTATTTTAACTTTTAAATGATCTTTGATCCATGTAAATTTTTACTTCTACTATAAAAATACATATAAATGTACAAAGTCAAGGTAAAAGTTCATTCTTATCGATAATAATAAATGTGAATTGAGATATTTGAATGAATCTTCAAGCCAAGATGAAGAAATATATAACTTTTCCAACTTGAAACATCAAAGAAGCTCTTATGGTTTTAGTAATGTACAGATTTAGTAGAATAAACTCAATGCTTACTTTTAGCCAATTAAACTAGATTGTAACCTTTAAATCCATGTACTCTATGGAGAAAAAAAAGTGTATTCTTTTGCTTCAATGTTAAAGATTATAATGTGTTTGATTTGATGTAAGAGATAATGTATAATATATATATATATGCACATAAATTTTCACATACATACTTATTATAGTTATATCTGCAATCAGAAAATAAAAAATGACAATGATTTTAAAATTGGATAGAAAATCATTATTGCTTAAAATATTGTTTTTTCATCAATCATAAACTCAACTCTCCACATGAAATGAAGAAAAATTATAAATTTTTCTACAACGTCAAGTTTCACATACTTCAAATATCCTTGATTGGATAGTGTAACCAAATACACAAGAATTTGTAATTTCAAGTCTTTTTCGGTGTAATAAAAGGTAAGTAGGATGGAGTTTGTATACATTACTTACACTTGTGAGGGTGCACTACTTGAATTAGTCATTGCTATCTTTTTGTCACCTCTTCAGTCCTCTAGGTTTGTCATGATCGACAGTTTTACAGAGTGACTTAAAGTTTACAATGATAGATAGGTAGAATTCACTTTTAAAGAATTAGCTAACATATATCGATTACTCATATAGATTCAATAGTTGTTGCAACTTAAAAGATAGCAATCACATTGGGCTGTACTTGTAGGTGGGCCCCACCTTACCCCATCCCGTGTAAGAATTACGGGATCTTTCTAAACTTTTTGATATACAAGGTCAACGATGAACTAGGCCTCATTAAGTTCTATTCTGCCATTAGGATTTACATGAACTTTCCGTTTTGGAAATGGAGTAGCAAGTTCGCTTTCAAGAAGCCTTTTGAATGTATCTAAAAGTCAACTGGAATCCTTTGGAGCAGATGTCGCTCTTCAGAGCTTCATTCTCCATAGTACGTACTCCTCCGGGTGCTTGATCATATCTTAATCTTGTCATCTTCTTTTCTATAACCAGGATTTGAAGCTGAAGGTTGCACCTCGAGCACCAACATCGAGGGAAGTGATTTACGCAGACCCTAGTCTACAGCAGTTTCAGACGTTTGTATACCCGGTCCGATTGATTATGTCCAATAGAGATGATCCGAGGCTGGATCTTGCAGCATGCCGTACCCAATGTACCGGTTGAGGAGGGCTTCACTAAACCCTCGAGGCCTTTTGGAAACCGGATATTGGATGGCATTTTCAAATGCAACCAATCAATGGACTCGAATGTTTGTAAGCCTATGGTTGTTCCACAGTACGTCCCGGTTGCATGATGGGCTCTCTCGTAGTACATTTACGTCGTAATTGGTTGTTGCCATGTCCGGAGACTCCGAACATGCTCGCATACATGGTTCAGAGCAGACCGAGATTCAGGTGTGGAATGGACATTCTGAAACCATGATGGACAATAGACAAAATAAACACCCCTGAAAATTTTGGACTGTAATGCGAGTTGCTTTTGAAGGTGTATATCTTGTCATCTCTTGCGAAGTTGTTAACCTTGTGACCTTTGAGTAGAGTACTCCAGAGAACCTCTGGAACAAAAGTGAAGACTGGAGACCATAATAGTCGAAAATCTAGGCAAACGATGCGAGAGTTCCTGTCAAAATGATGACAGATCAAGTGAGGTAATTAATAATGCACTTGTGCCTCTAGGTCGTAGACATGGAACTGTGGACCGGCATGTTGTATGCTGTATGATTGATCCTGTGCGATGTTTGCCATCCGGATCCTCCGTGTTACAGTATTCCGTTGAAGAGAATTTGAAGAATTGAATCCACTTATCACTGTTCTTTGTTTGTATCGAGCCCTACGCAATAAATTTCATCGAAAATGAAAGAGCCAATCATTATAACTAAAAGTGATTCAAATTCTAACCAAGCTGTGCATTCCAACTTCATCAAATTGACACTGATCCTCACGTGTGTGTTTATATATATATATATATATATATATATATATAGATTCTGAAAACTGGATGCGTGTACATTTCAGATGATTTTACATTAAAAATTCAGATTTTAGGAAGATTGGTATAAACGTGAGGTAGAATCCGAAGTCATCTTCTCCCTGTCAGCCAAATTCTGCACATCCCACACAGCGTTTGAGCAACAGAATTTAATGATATACTGAATGCGATCTGAGGCTGAGAACGGAGAAGTACACTCGACATAGAAGTGTCCGAATTCCATAGCAAGCGGCGGGGATGCTGTGCAGGTAGAGATAGGATAGTGAATAATGCTATAGTTGCAGTGATGACGTTCTCAAGTTGCAGCTCGAAGATCTGGAAAATACTGGTGGTTATCTACCGACAAGAAACACGGGAAGGATGGAAGACAAATTTAGTTGCCAATTATATGTACTTGCTAGTGAACACGTTCGTCCAGATTAGGAGCCGCAAATTCCTGGTCCTCCGGATGTGGCCCTCTGGGCATGACCTCCCTCATTGCATCAGCAGTTGTCGACCCACATTTGAAGAGGACGACTGAGAGGAGATTCGTGAGAGCGCAAGTCCCTGCTGCTGCGTGAAGTGAGATCTGGAGACATGTAGATCTGGACTTTTGTGGAGACTGTAGACATTCCCTCAGCTTACAAGCCATAGGCACCGTCCAGACTGTTCCCGCCCAGCTTCCTGAGCTTACTATATGACGCATAAAACGTGAATGCTGCGAGTTTTCAGCAGCTTGACAATGTGCTGGTCAAACCTGGCCATCATGGCTTGTAATGAATCTAACCTCAGCAGATGATTTCCGAAAATCGTTTATTGGAATTTGTGCAGAACTACCTTCATCTGGTAAAGTTAATCCGATCTTCTGTTCTTGAAAATCCTTCACGCAAATTCTGTGAAGGATCCGATGGAAGGAGCTGGTTGCTGGTTGCTCCCGTACGTGGAAGTAAGTCAACTTCTCTCACAGGGTCACATATAAAAGAGCGATCCTCGTCTTGCAATTCATCACATGAAGAAAGCACGAACAACGACGCCAGCAGCGAAAACTTCACTGGACTGAGATCGTTGCGAACGAGTCCGTGGTCTATCTCTCTGGTCGACAGAGAGTAAGATCTGCATCAAACCTCGACGTGAGGAGGAGTTCGAGAATTGCAACATGGCTCGCCTCTTGCTCGGCCTGATCGGTCTCGCCGTCGTCTGCCTGGCCCTGCAACTCCAAGTCCATGCAGCCACTCCGCCGAAGGATCCATCGACAGACTACGTGATGTTGCCGCAGAGCACCCAAGGAGGTCCAGAACGTGCGTCTTGCCTTTCTGGCCCCTGCAAAAACCAAAGGCTCACGTGTCCTCAGCAATGTCCGAAGCGATCCACCCAAGCCCCTGGCAAATCAGCATGCTTCATCGATTGCGCAGCTTGCCACACCGTCTGCAAGCGTAAGTGTCAACGCGGTCCCTCAGAAGTTTGACATTGTTCGATGACGAAACACTGGATTTCTCTGCTCATTCATGATTGCTTTCTCCTGAGTGAAGTACGTGGATTGAACACTGCCGCAAGCAAACATCAACGAGTACCATGAGTGAATGCTTCACGCTGAAATTCGATGCAGATTTGGAGCAGCTTGTATTAGATTTATACTAGCTGACACTATGACTTGCCGAGTCCATATGATGGCTAGTCGCGATCAGGAATTCAGGCAGACGGGCATATGAAGCGTGCAACGTGACGTCCTCGAGTGTTTTGTGATTGCAGATAGGAAGCCCAACTGCTATGGATTCGGAGCGATCTGCTACGACCCACGATTCGTCGGCGGAGACGGAGTGATGTTCTACTTCCACGGGAAGAAGGATCAGGATTTCTGCATTGTGTCGGACCGCAATTTGCACATCAACGCGCATTTCATCGGGAAGAGACCGGAGGGTAGAAGCAGGGATTATACATGGGTCCAAGGGCTGGGCATCATGTTCGACTCCCACAAGCTCGCCATCGGAGCCAAGAAGGTGGGAACGTGGTACGACAACATCGACGAGTTCACATTCTCCTACGACGGCGTCGACTTCACCATCCCGCACCACGACGGCGCCATCTGGACCTCGTCCGACGGGCAGGTGGTGATCGAGCGAACCAGCGAGGCCAACAGCGCCCACGTCCTCATCAACCAGCTCATGGAGCTGAGCGTGGACGTGGTTCCCATCACGGCCGAGGAGAGCCGCGTGCACAACTACCAGGTCACGAACGAGGACCGCTTCGCTCACCTGCAGATGCAGTTCAACTTCTTCGGCCTCTCCTCGACCGTGCACGGCGTACTGGGCCAGACTTATCAGCCCAACTACCGGACCACAGTTAACACCAACGTCCCCATGCCCATCATGGGCGGCGACGAGAAGTATCTGAGCTCGTCTCTGCTGTCGACCGACTGCCGAGTGACTCAGTTCTCGTCTGAGCCTTCTGCCACCAGTGAGCTTCCGGTCATCAAAATGCCCATCCAGTGCACTAGCAAGGAGGGCGGTATGTCTTGCAGGCGATAGACAGGTACCATAAGACAGGTACCATTTTTCGGCAGACCGTAGAAAGCAGAAGATTTAGAAATAGGTTAACTAAGATAAATCGAAATAATGGAGGTCTTGTGGAGTATTTGCGAAGAAAATACATGACCAGACCTTCTATAATTTCCCGAGGCTTCAATTACAGCACAGCAAATTCCTCGTAGGGTGCAGTTCATTGCACCGATCACACCTTTGTTCTGAATACTGATCTCGCCTTCACCTTGAAGGCATGTCGATCGTTCTAGTTCTAGACTAAACTGTAGATCAGAATAGTACAGTATGTAGATTCAGGTGTATCAAGCTAACAATGAATTTGAACAAATAGGCATTGATATGATCATAGAGTTGTCACATGTTTGTCAATGGTTTTGTGTCAGGATGGGTGAATGAAATGACCCTCACAATGTCACTCTCATACATCTCGATATTGAGCCTTCTGCAGTCACAAGTCTAAAATTAAATAAAGAATTCATTATCTTTATCTCAAAGATGGTCAAGATTGAAATGATTGCATTTCATGTGAATGAGTTACCTTAAGAATTAGAAAAATGTGTCGACCAGCAATACCATAGAAGCATACACTAAACACAAGTTGCAGATCCACCAGAAGAAGTTCATGCTCAGCAAATTTAATAACTTCGTCACTTAAGAAAAAATAAATTTAAACCATAAAGACAAGATAAAACCAAAAATCAACCATAAAGACAAGATAGAACCAAAAATCAATGAAGATGTATTTCTGTAAGATTCCCATCATCTTGCGATGATGAAGAATCATTGAAAATAACACATATGTGGAAAAAAATCACCAAGATGCTCATCCATGATAGTAAAGCAACCAACCAACCATGCCTTTATCGTTACAACTCAAATGTTTGTTTCAAATTTTTAAAAATCTTTTTGCTAAGAATTGTCACGTGCACCAGCTCATAAATCCCATAAGTCCATCTTTCTTAGAGCTATTTCACTCACTCTTCAAACTCTCATAACAATATTAGTATATTCATAACGAAATGTAAAATATCAGAGGTAGACTATTAATACAAGAGTCGATTTAATATTTCATATGATATATTTTATATTATATTTTATATTATATTGATTAATCATAAATTAAAATTTTTCTTCTATGCGTTAGGAATGAATTATGCTTTTTAATGCTTAGTACTTCATTAATTTCTTAAGAAAAAAGTAAAAATTATACGAATAATTTATTAAATTTAGGTTTTTTTTTTGTTATGCAATGAAACAAGGGAAGTATCATCATATGTGGAGAAATATATTGTAGCGCATATATACATATCTTCTAGCTCATGAAGGTCATGTTATAAAATGTTTCAAAAAAGTTTCAAATACGTTAAAACATTAAACATAGAGCACACCTATCATATTCTGCAAACAATGTTTATAAATTAGTTAATACTTGTTTATACCGCTCATTCGTCTAAGCCATTGAGTGGACGATGGATATGATATGGGATCCATGTTCAAGTTCCTCAACTTCCATTGGTTTCAATGATTTGCATGCATGGGTGTCATTTAGTGTTGGAGTCACAACTCAAAAGGCATGCCCACGGGCGAGGGCAGGGGGCATGGCCACGTGCATTCTTCATTCGCATTTTCCATACGGGGCATGCTTGTACGAAAAAATTTATCCAGAGTTATAGACAGTGGTATAAGTAGAAAATAAATGGGAAATTATGCTTGTTATTGGGGCTGCATGGTACTGAAACTGCTGTTGGAACTGAAGGATTTACCAAGCATATGCAATGCTGTTTTTGTGGCGGTAAGTGGGATGTAGACAGGTACTCCGTCTTGTTGATTGGTTCTCTTTCTAAGAGTGCTATATTTTCATAAAAGTATATTTTCTGATACATCAAATATACTTATTGTTTTACGGGCATGCCTTTTAGCGTTGAAAGGGAGCATGGGCATGCCTCGAAAAATTTTGTTATGCCTCCAACCCTAGTGTCATTACAGTTGCAATAGACGGGACTGGAAGTTACAACAAGAAAGACTAGCTATTGCCTACAAGTCGGGACTTTCCTTCAGCCTTGGTTGACCTTTTCATTGTACTCTTGTAACTATAAACTCATTGTATTTGTGGTTTCCTTTGTCTCTCATGTTTTATGAATCCGTTGCAAAACCTTCATAAATATGATATTTGTAAGAAGCAAGACTCATATAATGTTCAGTGTCACAAACCCACCTGTCCGAATCCATCGCCAATCTTTGTTAAGCCTCTGATGTTCTCCTTGTATAGCCACCGCCAACATTGTTTGAGAGTTATCTCCTAACCGAGCATTTAATCATCTTGCCCGTAACACAAAGACATGAGTTTAGAGATTCTATAAACTTAGACACATAGCTGTAAAAGGACACATAAACATACGAAGAGATGATGAAATAGAGGGGAAAGGGAAACATAGAACCATGTTCATTAGGTTATAATTGTTTGCGGTGTTGCGGAAGGAAGAGTGTGATAGATTAACAGAATGTTTACGTCCGCTAGATATTGCTGAAATGTTCAGACTGCTTTTAACACTTTCTAGTCAGAATAAGTTGTCCCTGGGGAGTTATTTATTCGTTGCAAAGGCCTTTGTCTGTCTGTTTGTGATATGATAGAACTCACTCCAAACAAATTACCTCAGACAAAACATACCCTGGCTATGAACTGTTCGTGCAGTGACAGATCTTTGAAGAAAATACAATGTATCTCTTGCTTTCATATCACTGCTAAGAAACTCCATGAGCGAGTTATTAGCCATGGAGTACTCGCTCATGGAGTTTCTTAGCCACATTCTTGTTCTGATGGCTAACGCATCATGCTCTCAAACATGCAACCAGAAATCACCGTAGACACTTTATGTCTTCTTTATTGGCTGCATCCATCGTTGGTCTATGTGTAATACTTTCACCCTAGACCTTTTTTCATTGAGAGATTTCCACTTAAATGATAACCAAACTAGTCCTGTATTCACCAACACGGACATATCCACGAAGTTTGGCCGCAATAATTACAGACGTCGCATTCTCATCATTCAATTCTGCCTCCTTTACCCGTCCCCGGACTTGCCAGCAGTCTACTGCTCTGGGATAGCAGCACTCTGCTCTTCTTCTCCCTTCGGTTCTAGCTCGACTTATATTCCCAACACAACGGTTCTCGTCCTGCTCGCTGACAGCTCTAGTGCAACGGTTTCCTCACTGTCACGGTACAGGGCCTCTATGATTGGCCTCCCAGGTATGGACTCTTCGGTCGCCTTGCATATTACGCTCTGGCGTTATAGAAAGTTGAGAGAAGGTTTCTGAAGGCAGAAACGAAAGCCCACATCTCTCTACTAAATATCTTCTAATGCTTCGTAGGCCCTTCGAGGTCTGGTCCCCGTTCTTTAGTCTAACTTCCTCATGCCCTTCATCCGCACATAGTAGTGTCATTGTAATGAATTGCGATATGTAAGAAATTCTGAGCAGGTGCACGTACTGTATCTACGGATAGCCGTAGTAAATTGCAGATCACATCACGCTTTAAATCAAGGAGACATGCTTTTCAACCCAAGACTGACCCATGTACACTGTCTTCAGTGTTCACGAAAGATCAGGTGAGAAGACCTTCAAAATTGACTGTCCTTGGTTAACCGATACACGATTCTCGTTACTATTTCAAAAATAGATCACATGACCGATCAGATTGACGGTACCAGCGATAACCGAATAGATTACAGCCAGAATGGCAGAACTGTTGTCACCCTACAGACTACAACATGCCTCTTATAGATGGTTCCTTGCATCCGTCGGACAAGAGCTCAACTACCACTCGATTAGAACGTGAAACGGTGAAACTTGGAAGATAGGACTTCATCTGTCGGTCCGCCGTTGACATTTAGCGGCAGTAACGTCGCAGTAACTTTCATCGTCCTCACATTGATTCTTGACTACTCAACGACTTCTTAGTTACTCACAGACTTCCAAGTTCCAACCGCAGTTTTGTAGATATCTTTGTTCGTATATGATTGGCAGGATGGAGTCCCTTACTAACCAGCTGAGTGCTCATGAAGGAGCACGTACTCACGACTGCACAAGTGAACAAACCACACAAAAGAAAAACCAGAATCTGTCACCAGGCGGTAGGTAACATGTTCATCGCATGCTATGGAACGGAATGGAGCCATAAGTACAAACAGCAATGTAAACTAATCATGATAATCTCTGAGAAAAGTAAACATTCTGACAAGCGACCTCAAAACCTAACTACGGACAGGTGGTAGTTGAGACCAAAAAACAATGAACTCGATGACAATGGCAGAAAAGAAAACTTAGATGAGGTAGACAAAGAGAACATAAAGAATGTTGACCGCACCTGCTATTACCGAACTTAATAGTATCCTTCTCAAACATCTCGTAATATCGTTGAGATTCAAGACGCTCAGCCTGAAAAAAGAACGGTCACAATTTTAACCCACTCGAAATTTCAGATGACCATGCCCAGGAAAAAACTAGACAATTATGAAAGGATAAATTAAATAACGGTCAGACTACATAAAACTTGGACAGAAAGACCATTACTTGTAAAAGACAAAGAACTACGATACCAGAACATTCCAATTTCAATTCGGCTGTACGAGTATGTTAATACCAGGAAAAAAAGTTGAGTAATTGGGTGAGCTACATGTTCAAGACAAGATTCAATCTTCGACTTATTCTCAAAAAATTCCTTGAAACTAGCAATACAAGGAATACACATAAATGGGTCAAACTTTCTCACATTCAAGAATGTGCCATTTGTACTTCCAAGGTCCATAAGGTATGGTCTGTCATGGCAGTGGAAAATAGTGAGAAGATGAGCGTCACTGCTTAGCCAACGACAACTCAACATCATCATCTCTCACTGCTCCTTATTATCTGCACAGATATTATAAGAAACTGGTGCAAACCTTCAGCAAAGTAGATTCAAATGATCTACTTCTATTTATAGAAAGGTTGGATTACATTGACCCCTAAAATGCAGCAAACTAGGATCTTCGTAAAGTCGACCTTAGTCGTCAAGCCTGACAATTGTGCACTTGTGTACATACGTAAATACAAGGTCGAAGGTCTAAACAACCAGAATTTTGATGCATCGTACCTCACTTTGTTGGATGTTGCACCGCTAGCTTCCTCCTTTTCAGTTAACCTGGACAAATGATCTTTTTAAATCAGCACTCACGACATGTTCATGTCTGTCACTCAACTTTGAGAGTATATGCGATTTGTCAAAAAGTCTAGACCTGGATTGTAAAAGTCAAGTGACTGAAGACTGCGCAGAATTTTTTGCTTCGTTTCTTGTACCTGTTGAGTCATTTGAAGCCCTCACCTATACTGTATAACGGCATGTTGTTTGCTGCAGGAAGGGTGATCTGTAGGTATGTCAGCAACTCTTCGCTCGCGCCCGAACAAATAACAAGTTTGGCGATGTATGTACAGAGGATCTGCAACAGATATCGTATCCACTATTATCTTCACATCACCTCGAAATGAAGTGATACACAACTGGTGAGAAGCAATTAGTGGTAGCCAACTTGCTTATAAAGATCACACTCTAAGCTCAATATAGGAATAAGTTCGGTGTGTAGACAAAAGAACAAACCATTCAGAGGTTCGCCGTCCTTGAACACATACAGACGCCAACGTGTGCTCGGTTTTCGAGCCTCAGGAGGTTCCGTAAATTGCAAGGTAACACCTGGCAAGGAATACAACCGAGTAAGGGTTACAGAGGATGAACGACAAAAAGGTCCTTTACTGCAAGCTGTATATACTTTATACTGCACTTAAAGAATATGAATGGGAAATAAGGGGTATATAGCTTCTTGGCCACTAGTGACCAAGAAGCTCGAGCTAAGAAGTACTTGACCAAGTCTTCACTTGCTTATGTCTTCTACAAGACTAGGAGCCAAAATTTGGTTCACAATGACATATCTTAACAAAAAGAAACGGAGTTTTGCCTGGTCAAAGGTTTGGACACAAAAATTAAAATAAGCTACTAATTCTACACTCATCCTGCCCAAATAAATAAAAACCCCTTAACCACAAGCTAAAAGGCAAGGTGTGACACCGTGCCTTTCTTCTACAGCATTGCTGAAGCTCATACCCGAGCTTCTTTGGGACCAGTTTTGAAAGTACTAACTGGGCTGGAGGAGAAACACAGCACGGAGGAAGCAAACCATAAACGTAACCTCTCCCAGTCCACGACAGCTCCTTAACACGTGGTCTGCAAGCAATGTTATCTGGGAGTTCCGTGGCTAGGCACAAGGTTGAAGTTCGAGGACCAAATGGTTGTCTTCCCTCTAAGCGACAAACACAAGATGAGGAACCACCCCGCTACTTGAGCTCTGAGTGTGCAGAGGACAACACTGTCCATAATTTTGTTACATGCATCACTTTCAGCGGATCGGGAGCGACAAAATATCACAACCTCGCTCATCCAGTGGTACCAGAAACATATTTTGGACTTTCCAAGACTTAATTCAGAGCCCGATGCTACTTTCTTTAGTAAAATCAACAGACTTTACGGTTGGACTAACTAGTGAAAAGTTTCTTGACTGACCACTCAAACCTCCGAACAAAAGAAAGACTTATTCATTCTCATTCATAAGTGGAAACGCTACTATGTAGACGCCATCTACACTCTCCAAAATTTCTTCCTTTCCCGCCTCCCCACTTCATCCCCTCTTGCTTCTTCTTTCTAGCCAGCAACTACCAGCAGTGCTAACCCAGTTCTATGATCCAGGCTAATTCAGGCAGATACTAGACAGTGCCCTAGATTCGAAGCCCAAAACAGCCAGACAATTGAGCAACACTTTCTGGGGCCCTAAATCTATACGGGTGAAATAGTCAGTATGTGGCTTCCTGCCTAACACTCAGAGCCTTTAAACTAACCGCGTCAATATATACAACCTTTTCCCTCTCAATCAGTCCTTTCTCTTTTCCTCCTCCTCTGTCTTCCCAAGTTGTTCTTCTTGTTCATCCTTCATAACCGAGGAACGGGGTCTATGGTCTTAAAGCATATACTAATGAGCACAGCTGGTAATTCACCTTTCACTTTGTTAGTTTCGGCGGCAAGCTTTCCAGAGTACTCGAAGGATGGTTTCTCCTGCAAACGTCACAGAATTGACCTCAGGATCGAGATTAAGAAAATCAGGACTGCAGCACTCATGAGGCCCAACATACTTCTCGGCGCATGACGCAAAATATCCAGGGAATGAATTGGAAAAAACTCGCTGTACCTTTTCTTTGGCCTCCTTCTCCAGAGCCGCTTCTATTTCCTTCATTTTTAAGAGGGCGTCGTCTTGCTTGGGAGTAGTCTCGTTGTCCCTGGAATGCATCGGCACAGGTCAGATATCATTAGCCTTCTCATTTAAATACGACGAATGTGCCACTGATACGGTGGAAAACCTACACAGGTCCAATACCTATCTCGATCTTTCCCTGCATCACCATCACCCTGCACAAAAAATCAAAAATCATTTATCAGAAAAAATACAACCTAGTTCCAGTTCAAAAATAAATCCAAAGAAGACACACAGTACAAGCGCCACAAACTCAACTTTGAACCCTATCGATCGGATGACAATCTGAAATGAAACCAAAATTTTTGAAAACGAGCCATTAACCACATATAGGGTTGGATTTCACCGGACACCTCGTCACGCGCCGCAGTTGTGGTTCCAGTGTTCAAGTGTTGCTCCTGCTTGGAGTTCCTCTGATGATGTGGAGACCTTCTTGGCGAAGGGGGCCGCCTCTGACGCGAATCCTTCGGAGAGAGGGACCGTTCATGACGCGAACGCAAGGGAGATCGCACCGGTGAGGAGTCTCTTTGTCTATCTCTACCCCTTCTGTCTCGGGGTCTCTCCTGCTCCCAACTATTGCCCCTGATTCTGTCTCTACCTCTGTCTTTCTCCCTAGTTACTGTCCTATCATCATCTTCTCTATCCCTAGTTTTAACACGGCCCCTGTCTCTACCCTTGTCCCTGTCATGACTCCTTCCACGATCCCGATCTCTGCTCCTTTCCAAATCCCTTTCTTCTTGAGCTCTTCGTAGACGTTTGGTGCGAGGTGATGGTGAACGCGATGGAGCCCGAACTGCCGAGAATCTTGCGGGAGAGCTTGAAGGGGACCTGCAAAACCATTGTGTCGCCATACAAATGTTTGATTACAATAGCTTCACAGAGAAGCAACTGTGGTTCATAAACTGGGGTGTTACAAGCAAAAACATGACAGTTCCCTTCAAAATAACAGAGCTTCATCTGTTGACCTCCGAATATCTGATTCGCTCCATAAACTGAATTCCAGAAAAACCTAAAGGGAAACAAACATGCCGTCAAGCGTAGCTCCCTGTTCTGCTAGAGTCACCTACGGCCTATACCCATTGACAAACTCATCATTTACGCCCAGCACAGGGTCTATGTCAAAAGTCACTGCTTTCAAGTACATCTCTCCACCCCACCGGAAACTCTCAAACTTGACAGCTTTTTATTCAAAGGTTCCTCTCCTAAATATCAACAGCGCATCCCGCGTCCATCAAAGGGGAGGCTCAGGTTGAACGACTGTGATAAATCCAAGTTCCCCATCACTTGAAAACAATTTCTTGACAGTGACTACACTAACCTAATCTATATGCTCATGAAACACATCATCACCATCGTTCAGCTTTCAAGCTCTTAGCTCCTTCCGATCTTGTTAAAAGATGCTCGGTTTGTAATACAAAAAACGTACTGCAGATGAGGAAATTATTGGGCAAATAAAATGTTCTGCGCAAGATAATTCTTGCTGTCAAACAACCACGGTATACCAACGAAACAGACAGTAAATTGTATTATAATACTATATCTGTGAATATTGACAGTCAGCAAAACCAACATGATTTGCGGAAACCCAATTCAAAGAACATATAACGATGTAGCGCATAGCAGCATGCACCTACAAGTTGAGCATAGCCAAAAAGTAAAATGTCCTGGTTCAAAGTGAAGACAACAGGGTCATGAACACACCCAATGTACTTTTCATGCAAGTCAGAAATCACCGTGCAAGGAATTCACAAACTAATCTTCACGGAGCAACATGCTAGAATATGTAAGCCAGCAGTTCAAACCGCGTAATCATGGAAAGCGTCTGCCCTTGATGCAAGCAATTACAGTCCAGAGACACATCGCGCGACAATGTGGAACGGCAAGTATGGCATCCTAGACGGAAACACCGCAGCTGAGTAGGAAAACAAGACATGCACAACTGAAAAAGATCTTTGGAAACACAAAGCCTCAGTGTAGAGAAAGACGAAGAGAGAAAAAATGCGTACATACCTTCGCGAAAATTGTGAACGTTTCTGCCCCTGTGCAGCCCCATCCCCTGTCCTGGGCGCCGCCATACCCCAGACAAATCTGACGACAGATTTTCAAAACCTCTCGTTTTCAATCGATCGTTTATTATACATTTTCATACAACGTCTGCCATAGTCCATTCATCTGCGTTCGGCCCATGCCTTCGTTTTCTTGCCTCCGTACCTCCTCGAGAAGCAAGAGCTGGAGCAAGGTTTTGATACATGGAACGATTGCATTTTCGGCCTGCGGGCATGCTTCGCGCACTCCCTTCCATCGGCCGAAAGACCGAAACCGGTTGGAACAAAAGGAGCTGATGCTTATGTGGCATCTCTGCATGCGCCAATTGCCTTGTGATGATTGACTGGCATGCTTGCTACATTTTCTCCATAACTGCAAGTATTGTTTCGTATATCAGAACTAGTCAACTCTCTGTTTAAACCCTTTGTCGGATTTCTTAAGTGTAGTGAGTTGTTGCTCACATCTGTCTAGATTACCCGCTTCAACATAATAAATACTGATTGCCATGTTGAATTTGTGTTTAATACATATGTACCAGCCCAATTGTTATAATTGAAAGCAATTTCTCCAATATATATACCTGAAACGTTTGCACGCTAGCATGATATTGCAAGTTAATTTAAGTCTACATTATTATAGCACTCTTCGAAATCTACAAGAATTGGGTCAATTGGAAACCTGAACTCCATGTAAAGTATAATTTACATGCATCTTTAGATGCGAATATGGGAAGAATTAATGCTCTTTTACTGTTTTTCCAAGTTTATTGTCATTTCTTCATCTAACATGGCTAATAATAAAATTATAAATTCTCTTGGTAGTGTGAGGATTTGAGATACATTTTTTATCAGATTGTAAATCTTTTAAATATTTTTCCAACAATTAAAAGACATGAAATTTTGTTTTAATTATATTATAACCCTCCTCATATTATGGTTTTATATTGCAAGATTGTGGTTTTTTTTCTGTATAATATGCATTGCAATACGTTTAATTACATTCAGCAAGCCTTGATTATTTGACTATTGAGTAATCAAAATTTTATCAAAGTAAAATATTATGGTCACTTCCATCATTTTGTAATTATAGCTTTCAAAAGTTTACCTAATATCAAGTAGCAATCTACTCATAAATTCATTTGTATTGAAGTTTAACATTTTGTCTCTCAATATCTAGACACGTAAATTTTTGAATGTGTGTTAATTTTTTTGTAAATCCACGTACATGTCATTTGATATGATGTAGTTTGTACTGCTTGTTAGCCTTACGTTTTGCATTTTTCAAAATTTCTATTCTCATTATTTAACATATAAAAGATTTTGATATAACTATCATGTTTTCATATGATAATTTAATGAATTCAAAGGTCTTTGAATACATGACACGCGAATGCATAAATATATTTTTGTTCCTGATTGTGAAGGATCTAATTGAAATTTTTCAGCAATATACAAATTATAACATTTCATTTGATTATAGTTTGATAATCTCAAGGTTGTATAATTATTGAAACTTCAGTTGTATTTGAAAGAATTAATACTATTTGATTTTAAAATAAGATGAAGTTAGAAGAAGCAAAAATTTTGTTTTTAAATTTCACGCTATAACCTCAAACATTGTATTTTCAAGTTCCCTTTACGATATTCATAAAAGGAATTTGTTGAAATAAACAGACAAATAAATGAAATTTTTACATCGGTTTTCAATTTATAGAAATGTATAGATATATCAAATTGAATCAAAATTTGATATATTGTTCAAATATATTGTAAATTGTTAAAAAATTATATAAATTAAATTGTTGAAATAATATATATCATTCATATATAGTATTTCTGAGAATTTATACTAAATCATGAATTTAATATTGTAAATATTTCAAATAATTGTGTTCATTAACACATGTTTGTGTAATTAACATAATATATAGTATTGATAATTCAATCTTGAATGTGAAATTATCAAATTTTAGCATCATATTCAACACATATTTTGAAACCTTTTATAATTACATTGATTTTTTTAATTTGGATCTATCTTAGTGGAGCTTATATCATAATTTGTTTGTATATTTATGTAATAAATATATTTTTAAATTAATATTTTAAAATACATTCCTTTCTATCAAAAATCTTGAATTATATTTGCACTATGAATTTGTGTCAACAAATTATTATTATACAACAAATTTATTAGTATATATCTAAAATTTAGTCGTATATTATTTTGTTTCATATAATTTAAAAAGTGATAAAAAAAAATTTCATCACAAATATCCATTGCAACTATGTGATAATTGATGCATTTACAAATTCTTTATCACTTCATATACACGTGAATCTAAATTTCCAATGTTTTCTATATTTGTAATTCATATTTAAACACATGTGTTTTGAATAACACTTGCATAATCAAAGATATGCAAAATCATAAACATATAATGGATCATTTTTTTTATCATACATAAAAAACCTTGTGATTATATTTAATGTAATTTATAATTGGATATTTATTTAAATATTTTGTATATAAAACTATTAATATTTTTCATGTTGATTTGTTCTTTTCAAAAGATTGTCATGATTAATTATCTATATATATATATTTGTTTCATGCTTTGCAAAACAAATTCAAAATTTTTTGAAAGACAATATAGGATAGATATAAAATTTTCTATCTTAAAAAATCAAAATTTATAAATGCATTAAATTATTTATAATGCAATTTGAGTTTTAATCAAATCTTTATATCGATGAAAATATTTGTTTGCAATTTTCATATAAAGTTTATTTAATCAAAATAAAAATATATATATATATATATTTAATGAAATATAAATATATATATATATATATATATTTATTTTTATTAAATTTGTATACTTAAATTTACTATCAATAAATATATTATATGATTTTTAAAATAACATATCAAGTTAAAAAATTTCATCTTATTGATTATATATATTACATCATGATTATGTTCATTCAAAGTACAAAGTTTATCAACGTTTAAGAAACATATAATATTCATAATTTCAATATTTTTTATATATTAGAAAAAACACAATAATGATACATACCTAACAAAATTAACGACAAGATATTATATCATTTGTTATGTTTAAATTACGATCAAATGTGCAACAAGTATGCAATTGAAAGAATCTATAATTGTTCGATACAAGTTATGTTACGCTCCTTTATATATACATGCTAACGAATATACTAGGATTAATTCAAATTAGGATTGGCTATTGTTTACTCTCATCGCTTTGATACTTGATTAGATTAGTAGAAGAATGAAAGTTGAGAGTCCACACAAAGTTGAAGAATGATTGAATAGATAGTTGATGGTGAACAGAGAGATACTCGAATGGAGTTTAAATATCCAATCCGAGTGGGATCAAAGAATGCAAAGCATACGAAGTATCACACCTCTCCAAAGGGATATGCCCTTGCGGTGGAACACACTCATGTCATGGTACACATTCCTATGAAGTATCGCATCCCCTGGAGTTAAACATCCTTAGTAAAAGTATAATACTAATCGCTACATCTCAGTCATAACATTTAGGATAGTATTGTACAAGTCCAAACACATGGAAGTAATAAGGAGTAATTGTATTTTAACAAAAAATTTTCTAACTTGTTGTTAAAAACGTACATTATGTTAAGTATCTAACTAGAAAAAAATACAATAATTCCAACTTATTACGAATTGTAATAAGTTGATCAATCCGAACCCTAATACAATACTTTGTGGAACGGTTAGTTGTACCTCATTTTTGGTAAATTATTCCTCACCGTATTATACTTTTTTTTTATGATTGATCAATGCAAGGTTATAACTTTTGTAGGGTGGATCGTTGCTATTTTTAAAATAAAGATTTTTTTTCTTTTCCTTTGCACCAAAGTCTCATATGTGACAATTGCCATGTCAAAGCCACACTAGCCATGTCACGTTAAAGTCGCTTCCATGACTTAATTTTTGAAAAGATTTGAACTGAACACAAGAAATCACTTTCACAATATGTCACGACTTGACTTCCAATCTCAAACAAAACGAACCAGCTAACACACATACACATGACACACAGTTCATGAGAGCTCTGACCGCACTCAATTCTTGTGCAAGATCCGTGAATTTCAAACATGCTATGGATTCTACCTGGCCTAATTGCTCTAATAATCTAAGTTCACTTTATGATGACGTTGAGCTTGTAGAACGTGTCAGATACTATTTTTTTCATGCACTTGGTATGTTGAGCTTGAATCAAATTCAGAAAGAGCTTATGCAACCGCAAAAGTGATCATGATCTTAAACCCCGATCTATGATATTACTAGCAAACACATTTTTGTTAGTGTTGAACTCCGCCGCGAGTCAAGCTCATCTGCTAGGAGTTGGTTTAGCTCGACAATTGTTGATTTTTCAAGAGTATTGTGAATTCAAACGTTCTAATCGTAGTTGTGTAAGACATAAGTACTCAATCAAGATCTTGATAATGTCATGATAGTTATTTATGAAATATATATTGTTAGTGGATAGAGTTTATGATTCAGTGGTCATATTGTCACGGCTCTACTAATGGCATGTGTCGATGTAGCCTAAGGAACAGTTGTGCAATGTTGAGTTATACTTCTCTCTTTCGGAAGCATCAAATAGTCAAATATATCCATCATCATTTCTCTAACTTTTACTTCTATTCATATGTCTTCAATCATCACATTCACATTCTTTGTTTACAAAACAATGACTAAACGTCTAGCTAGTATTAGTTTTTCATTTTTGTCTAAAGTAGGTGTGTGTTTTGATTTTTGTTTTCCATTTCCTTGTGAATCTTTGTGAAATTCATTTATTGACATGACACTTTTGCATTGTTCTAACGAGGTTTTTAAGTTTAGGAGTAAGTATTATGGTTGATTCATTCGAACTCTGTAATTTTGTGAATGTGCTCAACTTAAAATAAAATAAAGTCAGCTTGTGAGGAAATCAACATATGTGCAATACGAAGGAAGAAATTTACACATGAAAGGGAGCTCACATTCAAGTACCGTCGTTGTTATGTTATGTTTTTGAAATCAAAAGATAGCACTTGATTGCTTGTGAGAGTCTGCATATTCAATCTTGTGTCAATTTTATTTTGCATTTCATATAAGTTGGTACTCTGCATTGTCGTTCTCAAGACTAATTTGAGATAATGAACTCCTTCCAAGTAATGTTTATTAGCAAAAAGATGCTCTGTTCTAT